AACTGTATGAATATGAGGATAATGATGTCTACAGCAGCTTATATGCTGTAAGAGATCATTTCACACTCACACAAACATCTTGCAGAAGTACAAATGAGGAAATATCAATGTGTATAGTATGCATGCGTCTATTACTTACTTCTGCAGTGTAACGAGTCGTTCACCACAGTGCAGAAACTAAAAGAAAAACACAGGGATTCAAAACATTAAAGCTGATTCCAATTATTTTAAGTGGCAAAGTCACAGAGTGTCAATATTAAAATAACAAGACCCTGAAAATAAGACAGAAAGGTGGATCAAATATCAATTTTATTTCTAATGATTTATTTTTACATGTGCTTTTCCAACTGTGAGGAGTCAAAATGTCATATACCAACTACCTGCAATTCTATTGTCTATCCTACAATTGGCTAATATTAGGAGATTCCACAGAATAAATCCTCATCACCGTGGCGAAGTTGCATCCCCATTTATCATGTATTCGCCGTATTTTATTATTTATGCTGGTGTGAGCTTCACAGAGCCACTAGTGTGACTGAATACTGAGTTTTATCCTTGATGTCTGTTGTGTTAGTGTAGGACCAGCTGAGGAGGCCATGAATCGAGTTCCCCTGCAACAGCAGCAGAGCTGTGGATCCTGGGAGCTAAAGGAGCGACTGGGAACGGGAGGCTTTGGGAATGTCACAAGATGGCAGAATAAGGTACACAAGCTTTACATTTTTAACGTTGATAGTAGACTGCATGACTGGAAATTCCTCTGAGATGCAGAGTTTAATGAACAAAGATTGACTGTGCTCAGATAAAAGATTACTTGAGTCACCCTAGCATTCCCCAGCGGACGTCAGCAACATCATTGCCAGTGCAATGAACCTCAAAAGGAAAATGTCCAAAATATACATTTTGTCAGGTAAAGGTTAAAGTTTTTTTGTCTCACAAACTAATCTTGTAACTTTAAAGTGCCATCTTGAAAATCCTTTCACCTTCCTACATTGAGTTCAATTTGCTTATGGTTAGGGTTAACCTTAGTGAAAACTCAAATCACTTGTTTGTTTCACAATTCTCTGTTAAATTAAATATTCTAATAATATTCTTAAAATTTTCCATGTGAAAATTACGAGTTTTTTTTGCGGTTCGCTGATATTAATGTTGTCAGGTAAAACCGTGATAAAAAAGGTTTAAATAGAAATTTTCTAATCTAAATGATAAACTGTCATAAACATAACCAAACATAATTTAAAGGAG